AATTTCATGTATTTACTATTTTAAAGGGAGTAAAAATGTAACATATAACACCATTTTTTTTTTTCAAACTGAGCTATATCCCTATTATAATAACTGTGAAATTTATTTAATCTTTATCTTCCAAACTGTATTTAAAATTGTATATTAATTATTTTACATTTTCCTTATTCTCTATTTTTTTTTAAATATTCATATTATAATGAGATATACCTTTTTTTTTTTCAAACTGCATACATTTTAAAACAATTTTTTGTTCAGATATGTTTTGTTTTTCCTTTGCTTACAATTATATATGAAGGTATTTAAGACAGAGGTTATAAGAGAACATAAAAAAAATAAAAAATAAAAAAATAGCCAGACGTTTCGACTTAAAGGCCTTCAAAATCTATCTGTAAGCCAACGCCATTGTCTTATTCTCTGTTCTTTATTGCATCAAAAAACAGCATGGTAATTTGTGTTCAAGAGGCGTGCAGTTAAATTCACAACTCTACACATAAATGGGATAACTTTAAAAAAAATGATAGTTAATATTCTCTATTCCATGGATATCGAATCAAAAAATTTTTGATACAAAAATATGCTTATAGTTATATGTAAGTATGCGTAATCTTTAATATGTAAGTATTATTGATACAAATTGGAAACTCATTTAAGTTCATCATTGAATAATTATTTTAATGGTTTTATCTTATTGTAGGTATTAAGCTATTGTCAGAAATGGGATTGAAATTTTCTACTCTCTTCTATTTTTTCTATGTTTAATTTAAAAGTTTTCATTTTTTAAAAGAAAAATCGAAGTTTTATGTAATGTATTTCATCAAATTATGTATTTCTATTTCAAGGACGAAGATAATTTGGGGAGGGAAAGGGTATATGAATATCAATATTTTCAAACTCTATTATGTTACAAATTAGCGCTTTGGTATGCATTTCAAATTTACAATAAATACACATATTCTTTAAATATACAGAAATATACTCGAAATCTTTTTAAAAAAAAATTAGTTATTTAAATCCTTTTTTTAAAATCGGGTGGGGTATTAGAATGTCAATTTAGTTGAAAGGTCGTGCGGTAATTTGCCTAGGTGGTAACCATCCCGTGGACACTGTTGTAAATGATTGAAATATTTGTATGTGGAGGATGGAGGCAGCAATTAATTGATTGTGTCCGAGACAGCATAATGTACGCGACAGTAAATTATGCGTATTTTAAGAGTAAAGCAATATCTCAAACCCTAATTATATTACACACCAGAAATTGGTATATATAGATGTTTTTAAAAGAAAGGGCATAAGAAATTCACCATCTTCCAAATACACATTTCAGGGCAAGGAAAGAAGATGTGAGCATTTTTATGTTGAGTGCTGCATCTTTAACTCCGATGAGATTACCGTCGTGAAAGAGGATTTAGCTTATCTTTTAAAATAAATAAATAAATACGTGTCACACCAATGTTGGCAAATACAGTTTAAATGCAGACATTATAAAATGCTGAAAAGATTTTTTGTTTAGTTTAAAGTAACATCGAGCCAAAAAACTTCACTAGCCTCTGACTACCAAGGCGTATTCAAAGGCCATAACGAACAGCAAATCTTTACTTACCGCAACGATCGAAGGCAGGACGGTACACAATTAATTGTCATCCCCATCCCAATATCCCGAAACCTTATAAACAGGTTATCATTCGCGACATTGTTTGACATAGAATGTTTAGGAAGGTTCATTGAAAAAGTCAAATCTTTATTCTGTAACGTACGCGTTAAAACCATTTAGAAATATTTCAAGCTAAGACAATATTCAGACAAGGTTGTTTTTATAGCAGGGAAAAAAATAATTTAAAAAAAAAACAAGACACATTTTATATTTTTAATAATTAATTAAATTGATTGAAGCCTTCAACTAATACGTTTAGTATTATATTTAAAATAAAAAATAATTGAATTGATTCGAGCCCTCCCTTAACTTATAGGCTTATTATTATAGGATATGTGTATAATAAAAAAATAAATGAGTTGATTCGAACATTTAACTTTTTTTGGAGAATGCAGTATGTAACGCAATTCATATGTTTCAATCTTAGTTAACATGTATTTGTGGTGCTATCTCGTCTCGGCATGATTCTGGACTCTCTTCATTTTTATTGGTCTTGCTTTGATGACCTACTTCACTTGATCCCAAAATGGTGGTCCGTGGAACGGCATCACCCCGTTAGCATTACACCTGGTCCGCACAATGTGGGCCAAGAAACTTGAAACCTACTCAAAATGTTTCTACTCTATAAGTTGCTTTTCAAATTTACTTTTCAAAAAATGGTCAGTCTGGTGTATAAAGATAGGACAACCGCGCTTTCGTAATCTTATTATTTTTTTCCCCTTTAAACATTTTTTTTAAAAATTGGTTTATGACAGCTATTGAAATGTTTTGGTAAAATTTATTAATATTCTTTTTAAAAAGATTGTTTAAATTAAAATATTTAGTTGGAACTTTTGCATTATAACAAAACATATTTCATGAAATTTATATTTAAATTCAAATTTCAAAAATAAATTGCAGAATTTATCAATCTGGTAAGGTCCATGGTACATGAAAAAGCTGGCCCACCATTCCACTAAATGTATTTTTTTTTTCTTTAAAAAAAAGTTATTTAATATCATATCCCAATATATGTGGGAATTAAGTTTTTCGAGTGGATTACTTTTATATTTCCATAGTATTGATAATTTATTTTAAAATTATACTGTCTGCATTCCAATGTAGACATCAATCATACCTCTTTTAGCGTTAGTTGCAGACATACGACGTGGCGTTATAGGCCCTAATGAGAAACGCATCTAAAAATGTGTTGTCCGTTTAATCAGGCAGCAACACCGCTCCACCCCCACCCCAACTTTTCGTCACCGCCCAAGGAATAATTTATTTTCCCGCTTTGACGTGACTAGCGTGAACTAGGTCTAGTTGTAGTAGAGTCACGTCAGATACACTGCAGTACTGCACTAGAGAGCAGATCTCATTCATTTATCCAATGATAAGGGTATGTACCTCGAGCCAGTTATACATGTGTATTTTCAATGTCAATTTATCCGTTAATGTAAAGAGGAAAAAAAAAAGGAATTATCTGTAGTTAACGCATATCACAAACCAATTTGGGAGGCATCAGGCAAATCAAAAGCTGTTATGAATTAATGGAGTTTGTTTTTTAAAAAAATGAACATAATGTCCAGTATGTGGAATTCACTAGTAATTGTTGCGTACCGGATCTTGTGTTTTAGTAGGGGCGGTGTGTCTTAAGAGTTAGTTTAGTAAATGGGCGCTTTTGATTCCTTTTAGGGCTTCTGACATAGTATGACGTATTTTATGGTAATTGTGAATTCCTGTTTATAGCCTGGCTATGACGTACGTTGGCCGCTGATGAACAAAAATGCTCTAGTGAATGTTTGAGCATTATTTTCCTTCTCATAGCGAGCTGCGCTATACTTGTGCTTGATGCAATGTTTCCTCATTTTCTGGATCTGCGTTAACAATGAAAATAGTATGCCATGGCATAGCCTGAGAATGAAATTGCTCTTTCAAAGGTAGTCTCTCTTAAAATATGTTAAGATCGACTCCTTTCTATTTTAAATCTTAATTTTTTATTGGTAGAAATACACTGTTAAAATGATGGAATAAAATCAGTTGTTGTTTTTTTTTTAAAGAGACATTAAAATAAGGTAAAAATAAAGAAATATAATTATTTCAATAAAATTAACATGTACACTTTCGCTTGAAATACCAATCAGCTTTAAATTAGGGCTGGTCCGGATTTTGAGAAAATACCTGGCTGTACTGCTCCGAATTTTGATCAATACTCGGCTGTTCCAAGTCTTGATCCGTGTGTTAAAAACAACAACAACAACAACAATCTTCTCAGTTTCTTTATTCAGTTACACCAAACGAGGAGAAGTGAAGAGTGCATGTACAGAATAATACGAACAAACAGGCATTAAATTGAAGGCTTCAAAACACGAACAGTGGTGATGATTGCAATGTTAAGCATACGACTTTTAAAAGTTAAAAACTTTCATTGTTTTTCATGTATTGCAATACAAAACAATTATTCATTTTTTTAATTCTTTTTTTTTTTTTTTATTTTTTTTTGCAACACGCGCCAAGGTGGGACGTTGAACAAAAGTTAATGAGGCACTGACGTGCTGGGTTTTTTTGTATGTGTATGTGTCTGCGTATGTGGAATTTCCAAGTGCTTGAAATAGGCTACACAACGATGTACATTCTATTATGAGATACATCCGCATTCCTAAAAATAAAGCTGTCGGGAAAAACCTGACTGTCTAAGATGAAGTTCTCTAGCAAGGTAGACGGGGGATTTAAAGCATTGTTACATGATTTATTTGACATATGTTGTTGTTTCTTTAGGTCTAGGTTGAAGATCTTTACGCATTTTAAAATTGTGAAAGGCGACGATTTTCAATGTATGTTAAAATGATTATTCAAGATGGCTGTACTTATTTGTGGATTACAAGTTTCGTATATTCTAAAATGTTAATGGCTATGGGGTAGGGTATGGCCGTTGTATTCTACCTCATAGTAGGCTGTAAGAAAAGGTAAAGCAGTTGTATCCAACGTGATTGTGAGCATATTATAAGATAAATCAATCCACCAACGTTTTATTCGTCCGTCTATCAAGCTATTGATGCGTCCAACCGTCCCCTAGCCGTTAAATAGCCAGTCTTTCTGCCTGTCAAACAGTGTGCAATGCATATGTCTGTGTGCTTGTCCGACTGTCTGTCTTTGTAGCTAACTATATGTGTATCTTTCTTAACTGAAGCGCTGAAAGGACTTAGCTTAGCAGTTTGTTTATAGTTTTGTGTTTACATGTTTGGTGTTTGACATGTTGGTGTTTACATGTTTGGTGTTTGACATGTATAATTTTTTGTTTCATGTCATTGTATTAAACCTAGGTTGACATGTCAGCAGTTATTCTTTCATTTCTTTATATTTTCACAGGTTTTAACTACACAGACATCGCGAAAGTTAAACGACTTCAAATTTAACGTTTATTAGTTTAGTTTAATACTATCTTTGCTGAATTTGACCAAAGTGTGGATTCATTCATTCATCAAGTCGGCTTTGTGTAGCCAGTCTCACTGATCAGTAACGTGTGAATTCATTCACCATGAAGATTTTGGGTAGCCAATCTCATTGATCACCAAATTGTGGATTCACTCAGCAAGAAGGTTTTGTGTAGTCAACCTCACTTATCAGAAAAGTGAGAATTCATTCACCAAGAAGGCTCTGATCTGTGACACTTGAACCAAAACCACATGTACAAGATCTAGCGCCATGTCCAAGACAATGCCTTCTGAGCGTAAGACGATGTTTTCTGAACGAGATCTAATTCCAAAGGGAAATGAAGGTCTTGTTGAGCAAATCGAACTTAAGGGCATCACAGAACTTCACTCAGGAACTAACTACTCTATGGGCTTTGCTCTTGGAACTGACACAGGGGAAGGAATCGAGAGTGCTCAACAGAGTGGCGTACATACACTTATATTAGGCTCATTCACAGGAAACAATGAACTTATATTGGCTTTATTGAACACAGGAATCGATGTCAACTGCACAGATGAATATGGTTGGACAGCTCTGATGTTTGCTTCGGGCAGAGGTCATATTCATGTTGTTGAAGTGCTACTTGCTAACGGAGCTGATGCTAATCGCAGGGAACGGGAAGGCTGGACATCCTTGATGCTCGCTGCACAGAATGGACACCGAGAAATCGCCCACCTGCTTTTGAAGCACGGCGCGCTTGTTGACAACACATGTGTAAGGGGAAATACAGCGCTTATGGTTGCTGCACAGCACGGATATACGGAGATTACAGAAATATTGCTGCAAAATAAATCTGATGTGAGCCATAGCAATTATGAACAAATCACACCTATCGCATTGGCTTCCCAACGTGGGCATTTGGATACGGTAAAAATCTTAATTCATTATGCCGCTGAACAAGGTTGTTTTGATCTTAAATTTCTGGACTTTCCCTTAACATTGGCTATACAGAATGGACATGAAAACATTGTAGAATTGTTGCTGCATCATGCCGCTAACACCAACGAATCACATTATATGTCCCGTTGTGACGCATCTGAGGAGAAATCGGGGGCTACTATAGCGGATAAATTGAATGTGTGGGCAGCATCTAACCTTACAAGGTCATCTATTAGAATATATGAAGAAAATATTAATCTTTATCGAAATGTTTACTTATCACCGTCAATTCAAATAAATTTTAATAAATTAACATTTCAAAGATGGAACTGTTCTCTGATGAGTAATGGTGTAAGAGACTGGTTCTATCTGACAAAAAATATCCTCATTGGTGAACTTTTGTGTAAATCCGAAATAACACGTTTGGACCCTAAAAACTGGGGCCCCCTTATTTTAGCATGTAGCAATGGGAATGTAAAAATTATGGAAATTTTACTCACTTACGGTGCTGACATTGATGAAGCGGACACAAGGCAATGGACACCGCTTTTAATTGCAGCTAGTTCTGGGCACGTGGAATCTATGGAATTCCTGCTGAGTCGTGGCGCCAACGTGAATCACAGAGCTCAATACGGCGTCAATGCAGTAGCAATAGTTTCATTTCATGGTCATGTCAGGCTACTGGAGGTTTTATTGCAGTACAAGGCTGATGTCAATCTTTATTTGGATGACAAAGTCACGGCCTTAATGCTCGCAACACAACACAACCATTGCGATATCGTTGAGATACTTCTAAAAAACGGGGCTGATGTCAATGCTCAGCAAAGGGAGGAATGGTCGTCGCTAATGATCGGGTCTTTAATAGGCAGCACTAAAATTGTAAAGTTATTAATAGACTATAACGCAGACGTCAATCAAAGAGAGAACGACGGATGGTCAGCCCTTATGATAGCTTCCAAACAGGGACATTGCGACGTGGTAGATGTTTTGCTTGAACATAAAGCCAACGTTGATCAGGAAGAATGCAACAAATGGACGTCACTGTCGATAGCGTCTTGCGCAAATTTCCCCGATGTAGTTGAGCTTTTGCTAAAGCATGGAGCCCACATTGACCACACGAATGCTAACGACGAGACACCTCTGATGATGGCTTCCAAACAAGGCCATCTGGACGTTGTTCGCTGTTTACTCGAACGAGGAGCCGCTGTCAACACCCGCAACAAAGACGGAGATACAGCTGTGATGTTAGCCACTAAATATAACCACGAGAATATTGTAGAGCTGCTATGCCGGGAACACGCAGATTTGAAAGGGTGAGTTTCTCATACTACTGATGTCATTGACCTACCTTCGATAAAGTTAGATAAGATAAGATTTTTTTATTGATCGAAACAAATGGAAATGTTTTCTGATTACTTTATACAGATACATTTTCAGCATATAAATAAATACCTATTTCGATAAAGTCACATTTCACATTTTCTAACTAAAAACAATTTCAACATCTTAATTAAATTGATTCTCTAGTGTAAGAAAAAGCCAATCAATTAACTCTCTTTGTCATAACAGGGACTTAATTAGTGATCATTTATATTTTGAGACCTCTGTAACGCTAGTAAATTCGAACAGATTAGGAAGGAAACGAATTTGATTAATTTTACAATACAATTTTCCTTCAAAAAGTTTAGTTTGTGAGATGTATCTACATCTCTTGTTTAGTCTGTGTATTCGGTGTTTGACATCAGACGACAAATTTCCACACCAGCAGGTAATGTTGAAATTAAGTAGGCTTCCAATTGCTGAACTTGAGAAAAAGTTAATAATTTGTTTACGCCGAAATTTTGCAATTTTTTTTTAAGGTGGAAAAGTCTTTGTTTGAGTTTTTCATACGGCGTTTGGCCGTGGTCTGAACATATTAAAGTGTGGCAGTTTGTTGGTCGTTGTCATATGTCCTTGTTATTTTTTATCTTCTTCCCCTGGCATCCGCCTGTCACAATGGGACGATGGTGGGGATTTCACAGGACGAAATCCACAAGGCCTGAAATTATTATTCTAGGATTATAAGCTGGTTACCAACCGCAAATCGCCTCTCTCCACGCCACTGGTTAGCCCAAGGGAACATCATGTGGGTGATACGTCTTGGCACAGGTGGCGTCGCAGGAGTTGTGGGAATGTTTCATTGTACCAATGTTATCTGCCTAGTGGAATCCATCTCCGGGTTTCAATTCAGAATTTCCTTAACTTAGATGATTTTCCAAAACATGGTTAGTGAGTTCCATCCACCAGGGGCGCTGGTGATGATTTTGCTTAACCGGCATTTAGGCTGGAATTGAGCTCAAATTTCGCTCAGTTGAGACTTGAGACTACTCGGCCAACCGGCATCAAATTTTTATTAACTTGGTAAGTTATCAGGTTTTTTAAAAAGGCGAAAATTATGATGATGGTAATTAAACCCTTTATAATTTGCGGTAAGATAATATTTTACGATAAAGTGTGGTAGTTTGTTGGTCGTTGTCATATGTCATAGTTTACAAAATTAAACTAAATTATTTAAGCATAGTTAGAAATATTCCAATAATGCCTTTAGTAAAGTTAATTTTAAAACATAATCACTACAATACATCCATTAATACATTGTTATTTTAAGGCTATCATGTTATAGATACTGTTGTTTTGTTTTTTGTTTCCAGCCCTACCAGTAATGAAAAAGAGGACCCCAAAAATCTCAGGTAAAAAAAAAAGAGGACATTTTTTTAAAATTAAACGAAATGGCTATTCGCACCCGGGTACAAAAAGTGAGAGGTTGGGATTAAAAAACTATTTGAATGCACGATATGTTTGTAAACTTAATTCTTCAGTTTAACTAAAATAAACTACCCCAAATGACATCCGAAAGCATTGAGTCTAAACGGACTCTGGTCCGAATGGCGGCGCTGAGAGTCTGGGTCGTCCATTTTGAGTAAATGCTACCCGGATGTCATTTGTGGTAGTTTATTACAGTTAAACTGTGATTTTTCAACACATCTTAGAGCTTTGACACCAACTATTCTTTTAGATATCTTCACTTCCTAGCCAAAAAAAAAAAATATTAGAATGTTTTTATAAATTCTGTTGCTCACATGCCATTTTATAGGTAAAAATATTGAGCATTTAAAAAATAGTATCTCAGAATTCTATATTATCATTCCATAGGAATGAGTTTAAAAGATTACTTCAGGTCATGGGCGCCCGCAGAAAACTTTCTGGGGGGGAGGTGCAAAAAATCGATTAACTTTCCAGGGGGGAGGCTGAAAAATTTTTTTAATGTTTTAATATAGTTTTAATTTACTGCAGTGTATTTGTATGGTGAACGAACGGACAGGACATCAGCTTAGTTACTTTCTCTTTATTTTCTCTTTACGTTAATAAATTTTTTGTCTATTTTTGTCTAAACATTTTTTATCCAATCAATCCAGGGGGGGGGGGTAAATGCCACCCCTGCCCCTACCTGCGGGCGCCCATGCTTCAGGTAACAAAATCTTATATTGTAAAAGCCACCTTTTTACTGACTTATTAGTAATATAATTAAATATAAGTTTAAAAAAAAAAAAACAACTTATGATTTATGTCTCACAACCCCACACAGAGCCTCAATGCCTTCAAGAAAGAGAACTCACCAAACACACTACATCGAAGCCAATGATAAAATGTTTGTGTAAGTATTCCACTAAACAAAATGTGCAGACTTATTGGGAGATGGGGCTGATCAGGTGCAGATTTTTTGTTGTTGTCTTTCTAGTCTTTGTACCAGTCCCGGGTATACTAAGTCTGAGTCCAGGCCGGGTATCAATTCAGGAATTATTTATAGAACACGAAAAGTATGTTCCAGTTTTATCATAACAATGTACACAAATTAAATAAGTTTAAAACGTGCCGTTTGATTGGCGAAGTCCGGTTAATTTCCGGGTGTGTAATATTCAGCATTTCCGGATGACCAAGTCATCAACCAGCCCAAGTAGGTAACGAAGGGTGGACTAAACTTCATTGATACCAGATACATCATTGGGGTCAGTGATGTGGTCAACTGCCCTGACGATGCTACGAAGTGATATGTCATTTGACAGCTTTCAGTTTCTGGACCATGTGACGGAATACCTTATTGTAGCTACGCTTCCTGGAGAGTTCATCGCGTTGGACTTAACAAGCAATACGGAATTTTTGTTGAACTATGTGGGCACGCCCCTTTGGGCCAAACACTGAATTGGATTAGTTGAAATTAAAAAAAAATATGATAACTAAGAAATCAATAGAAATACTTTGTTTGAATGATCTTAGAGTTCCTTCTAATTCGAACCTGTTTTATGATCTTCTCTTTTCACAGAAACATGTACATCATTAGAAATGTTGAAACTATTAATGTGAAGGAATCCAAAAATGTGTTAGTAAAAAGAGCAAAATATCTGGCCAATGACCACAGTGAAATTAAAGTTGAGGGCAGTCCTTTGTTTACCAAGGATAAAACCACCGAGAAGGAGGAGAAAGAGCAGGCGTCAGCAAGAAGGCTATAAACTCGCATTTGATTTACAATTTTGTCGTAAGATACGAAGGCTATTAACAGGTATATGATTTAGACTTCTCACAAGATAAGAAGGACTTTAAACTGGCATGTGATTTAGAAGTTTCTCATTAGATGAGAAGGCTGTGAAGAGGAAAGTGATTTAGAAGATTCTCATAAGATGAAACTTGAAAGTTAATGTAATTGTTTTACATATAAAAAAAAAAAAAAAAAAAGAAAAATCAGCTAAAATCTGATATTGGACCAATTAAGTGAGTCAATTTTCAAATAAATTGTTTTTTTTTGCTGTGTATTGTCTTTTGAAGACGCCAGTAAGCTAAAACATCCCTTTAATTGCTATGTCTTTTTTTTTTTGCCAAACCTAAACATATATCGTTTCACTATTTATTTACTTCTGATGGCTTGAACACATTCACCCATATATTATTCTATTAATTCAATCTTGCGATAGTATTATATGGTTTCACAAAACCAACGTAGCGAACTAATTAAAAGCAGGTATCAAAGGGTCGCACTCGGGAAATATTTTCTTTTGATGACTAAAAATACCACGATAATGTTGTCATGTGCGAAAACGTGACATAACATTACTCTAATAGTGCTATTTCTGAGGAAAAAAAATTAGATTCTTCCTTTTGGGGCTTACAACACATCAAACACAGATAAAACAGATTCTAGTAAGCCTACTCACCTACTTAAAACCTACTGACAGCCACAGCTACTTACCCTACTCTGCTTTTCCACACAAAATCCTGCAAAGGGACCGTATTCCCCTCTCTTAATATCTTCGTCTTCGCCGACTTTACCAGTCGGAAGATGACTTTAGGGACAAGGCACTTGAGATGATCGACTGTTTACGATGTAGTTCCTACTTGGAGACAGTACGTTCGTCATCACTTCAAATGGTTTAAATTTATTATTCGTGCTGATGCCTTCACATCATGTCCAAGTGACAGTGGCGACAGGACCACCGTTATGCTTACATACCATCCTCACGATCTCATAGCCAAACACGTTTTCCTTAAAGACCGTGCCATTGTCATCGCCGACCCTGACACCCACGAAATTTTCCACGAGCCTTCTTTCATTGTTTTCGGACGTGATGCAAATCTGCGTGACCTCCAGGTGCGAAGTCCCATCAACCCCGCCCCTTCCCACTCTGAGACAAACTATGTGGACGCAGCCGCATCAACAGTCGCCCTGTTTTTATCTAGAATCAACACATTCTTTTAACTAAGGGGAAGTTTTCAGATAAGGGAAGTTTCCCTTTGTACTAGCCGCAATGTTGTCCACGTTATAGTCTCCACCTTTTACGAGGTGTCGTATCTGGGTGGGACGGGACGCCGACTTTCTCATAGATGTACTGAAGACCTCCATAGTATTACACAAGAACAGCAGTGTTATATATATATATATATATATATTTATATATATATATATATATATATATATATATATATATATAAATATATAAACTTTCTAATAGATGTACTGAAGACCTCCATAGTATTACACAAGAACAGCAGTGTTATATATATATATATATATATTTATATATATATATATATATTTATATATATATATATATATATAAATATACAAAGACAGATAGAGAAAAGATACATATACAATTTTATGAGCGGTTCACAGTCAACAGCGCGTTAAACCAGGATGCGTATTTGCACTAACATATTTTATAATTTCAATCTCAACTCTGCTTTAGTTTGCCGTTAATGACATTGACGACGCAAAGTACACCCGTACCATAACTGATGGTGGGCTGTTCAATGTCGTCCATAGACCCTTCAAAATAATCAAAGCAGTTAATTTGTGGAATGATTTTTCTGACGATGCCACCTATTAAACCTTCCACATATTCTTAAGGATGTGCTGTATAGAAATTTCGTAGAGGGGGCAATATTTTTTGGACGGCTACTGTTGCGCTTGTAAGACGTGTGGAAAAACAAATACGAGGATCGCTAGCATAGAAATCGGCGAAGGGGAGGTCATCATTCTAGTGTCTATGAAGGAAGCAAACAGGTAGAAGACGCTCTAAACGATGTCGCTTGCTACAAAAATTACCATTGGGGCAGGTGGAAGTCAGGGTTCTCCTGCAGGAAGTGCAGCCGAGACTAACACTCCAGGGAATGACCCTATAAGCCATTTGATTAAGTCTTCATTTAGCAGCTCCATCGGCTTAGAAGACTGAAGTATTTCATGTATTCGTGATCTCAACATAAGAGATGCTATTTTACATTGCATTATCTTATAATAAATCGTAAAAAGAATATTTGTAACATTTTTGTTTTGTTGGTTTGAAAATGTTGCGTGGGGCTTCATTGAATTAATTTTATGTAACTGTTTTTTTTAATGTTCTGGTTTTTTTTTCTTCTTTTTCTAATTGCTAATTTTTATGGGCAGCTCAGTGAGCCCAGCCCTAGGAGGGAGCACCACGCTACATAAGACCACTTTAATGATAAAATTTAAAAAAAAAATGGATTAATTACAATTGTAACCTACTCTATAATGTATATAGAATTTATAATTTTTTTAAAATTTATTATTATTTTTTTTTAAATATAAAATGGTTTAATTTAGAATCGAATGTTTTGGTGTTGTTAGTTTGGGTTTTTGTCATTAAGAATAAGGAGCCAGAATGATCAATTCATTGATCGTGGGCCCTTAAAATAAAGAAGAAGAAGAATAAATGAAATTAAAATAAAAAAAATATTATTAAATTCCAAAATATTTGTTTGGGTGATTATGCTTTTTTAAAAATCATTTACATTAATTTCGCTTTCTTCGTGGCTGACCTGGCTGGCTGGCTGGCTGGAAGGCAGGCAAAATCTTCGGAAGGCTCATTGACCAACTTCCCGTCATCCTATCAAGTTGAAACTTGAAACAGAGACTCGATGCCAACGACAACACAATCTTTCAAAATTTCAGCCCCACCCTTCACACCCAGAATTCGTTTTTTTTTTCTCTTCTATTTTTTTAAGGATGTGGGGAGGAATATTAAAGATTTGTTTAGTGTGTGAGCGTTTCGTTGTGGAGATTGTGTGCTTTGTATTTGTGACGTATTTGAGTTTAAATAAACATTTAGTCTACTAGGTTTTTAGATGCACTCAAATTAATTTAAAAATAATCCCTCAATCAGAAATAACGGCTAACAAAGATGCAGGGTTCTGAACAAGGGGGGGGGGGGGAGGGGGGTGGCACTGTAAGTCTATCCCAAGATAACAAGTGATCAATTCACAAACCAGGTGTAAGTTTTGCGTGGAAGCTGCAAGATTTTAAGCTAAGTCGTTAAGTCCATATCCCCCCCCCCCCCACACCAGAAAAATGAAAATGAAACAAAGGAAAAAACCGAACAACAAAGTAGTCACATTTAAAAGTCTTTGTAATATAATTTAGAAATCAATGAAAACAAAATGTCAAAATATTTAGATCAAATGAGTGGCTGACATCCACCGAATGTATCATCATTAGTTTGAAAAAGATTAATGTAGCATTAGTGTAGTCAGAGTGTGGCAACAATTATAAACTTTTCCTAACATTGGGAATAATTTTTACATTTTAAAATAAAAATTCAAAAATGAAAATAAAAATGACATTATATTTATATACACTGCACCACAAACCCCCACTTCCACACATCCCTGAATACTGAATTTCTCACGGTACCAGGCCATCCCCACCCCCCGCCACTTTTTTTTTGAGTGGACTCGTCCCTCACTGTTTGAGAACCACTGACCTAAATCCATAATTATGAAAAGAAATCAAACATGGAGCGGAGCTTCGATTTAATATTTTTTAGTGTTGCTGTTAGTTGTTTGGTAGCAGTATTTCATACTTTTTCTGAGACCAAGGTACGTCTATTTTTCAATTAAAAATCTGTTCATGGCCGATCTCATCCCAGCCTTTTATATGTCAAACCATCTGCTTGCCTTATTTAATAATGCTAATCTAATATGACACTCATTTAATTCTTTGATAGAAATTAAAAATGATACGAACATGCACACACGCGTTCAAAGACACACACACACACAATCACATATACATGCATAAAGAAAACTTTGTAAACGCAGTATCATCAGTCAGTCAGTCAGTCAGTGGGTGAAAAGAAATATTTATTGACATTCGAAATTGGCATTGTCATAACCAAAAGACATGCGTATATGTAAAACTAACTATTATACTAATCTCCCAGTAAAACGATTCATTTTTTTCAAATAATTGTATTTTCATTAAGCTTACAATTTATTTTAGCTTCGCACTATTTATTAAACACATGTATAATATAGTGTTACGCACCGTTATAGTTTAGAGAACATAATCTCTTCCTCTACTCGTTGGCTCATGTCAAACAGTACATTACAAAAGGACGATACTATTAATGAAATGCGGTAATAAAAAAATGTATACAAATCTTTTTCACGTATCGTAAAATCAAAATTTTGTTCAAATACCTCAAACTCTCATGTCATTATTTTGACGGGCGTATTAATATTCTCTTTTATAGAGTTTTCCAGAATTGGGTTCAGGATTGCAAAAGTGCCTTGACCCGTCTCAAACATTCTAAAAGATTCTAAAAAATACACACTATAATATAAAATGACTAAAAACAAAGTAGGGTTAAACATAAGAAGGGAACGCAACAAAACAACGAACTTGTCGGCAGGAAGCCATCGTCAGCGAACAAAACAACAGGAAAAAAGAAACAGAATAAAATACAAATTAATTTTAAAAAAATAGCCCTTAGCTTAGGAGTAGTATCCGCGGCCAGCAAATGAATAGTGAATTTTTTCTGTTTACAAAGGTAATAAGGTGGGACGTGGAGCCAAAAGTATGGTAGACACTGGCCTGTTGAAATCTTCAGGGGAACTCCCATGGCTTAAAAGGGGCTTTTCAAAGACGATTTAAATACATCCGCAATCCTAAAATAGCGTTGTCGGGAAAACAGGAATTGATAAGTTCAGTACAATGTCTAGACGGGCTAATGGGGATGTTTAAAAAGTCCCCAACGGGACTGAGGCTGAAAGAAGAAGGGTTGGAATTCTGCAGCGAGGTGCACATAGCACAAACAAAAAAAGGTAAGGTGAAATATTCACGACTCCTTAATACAGGCGACTTAGTTATAAAAAAACTAAAAATTGCAAATTTTTAGATTGTAATTTTCATTGTCGACTAAAATAT